AAACACACCTTTTCCAGAAATACCTGAATTAGCACTTCTGGCATTATACTTTCTGGCATTCCTAAGAAGAAAAAAAAAAAAAGCACTTTTCCAACAGAGTATTAGATCGATGGTATTCATAGCCTTGGTTTTATTGAGCTAGTATCGGGGAAAAATTCATTGTGGAGTCTTAAAGCACTTATGTAAGTCGCTCTGGCTAAGGGCGTCTGCCAAATGATGTAAATGTAAATGCATTAGATAAACTTCAATTCCATGACACCTGTCTGTCTGTGGTTTGGTGCCCTCTGCAGGAGAGAGTGGAGTGTTACCCCAACGTGAAAATCCTGAGTATAGGTCGGTTTGACCGAACTTGTGAGGCCTGTCAGCTCCACAGGAACACCCGCTTCTGTGTGCGCCTCTCCGGGCAGCTCTATGACGACAAGACCCTGCAGGAGGACACCTTCATGCTTAATGACACACAGGTAGTGGCCAGCAAGCATGTACCCACAGCAGCTGATGTGATTGGTTGAGTTGCACACCAGTTTCTGTATGTTTTTTGTTACACACACACGGTCATTGGTCAGTGGTTGTAGGTCAGTATCTTATAGGTGATTTAGTAATTAACTGATTGAGAGCTTTGGTTGTGTCTTTTTTTTTTATTTTTTATTTATTTATTTTTTTTATAAACTGCCTTTACTGTAAATATCAAAATGATGGTTCTTGTCTACTCTGCATCATTGACTCATTTCTACTGCTATCTGGTACCAGATGCATTTAAACGCTGTAGATGCATCTGTTTTCCCCAGAAACATTGAACGTTGTCGTAAACATTTTTCCGGACTGCTCAGGACTTCCGGGTAGGCGTAGTCTGTGCCAATCGCACTGAGGTGTACCACCAGCTGAAACACTTCAAGTACCACCTGTTCCGTCAGTGTAAGGCAGAGTTGGAGAAGGAAGAGGAAGCTCCTGTGAAGGATATGGTCAGCAAGGCATTTTCTCGGCTGCGGGCTTGTGGCTGGATCAGACAGGTGTGTCCTTGTCACTAGACGTGTAGAGCAATGGATCATGCTGTGTAATGCTTCAGGATACAATGTCACCCAACCTGACAAATGACACATGCTGTAGACCATAGGCTTCTCAGTCCTGGTATAGCTGCTTTTCTTGTAAGAATAACTGGCATTTGTCGTTTGCACATGCCTTCTTCCAATGCAGCATTCCAGGCATATACCTCCACCCCCAATTAAATGTTCAAGGCTTGTAGCTCCACCTCCAATGCAGTGTTCAAGGCTTTTAGTTCCTCTCTTGGTGGATTGTTCAAGGGTCATGACTTTACTCCTTACTGCACCCCCGATGACAATGCATTACTGTTGATTGCAGTGGGTAAAGCTTGTTACTGATGTCGTCTGTCTTTTTTCTTGATCTTCAGCAATATGAAGAGTTCGAGGGCCACCTGAACAAAGCTGATTACTTTCAAGAAGAAAAATTGGACTTCTGAATCTAGCCAGAATAATAATATCCTCTAATTGATCTATTTTTACATTCTACTCTTTTTTTTTTTTTTTTTTTTTTCTGGTTCTGATTATGTGATGTTGTGTAAAAGTGAAGCTTTTAATCTCCATCACTGACCTTCTTTCTACATGTCGCTTGCATTACCCTGGATGGACTCTCATTGTACGTCTTTTATCCTCAGTTTGGTTGCAAATACTCCAGAAATACTAGTTTTATTTGTTTGATTTGGTTTTACCTGCCTGTAAATATGCCAAACGCTGCTGAGCTTTTCAGAGAAGGTGAGGAGGTAGACATGAATCACACATGAGACATGAGTCACACATGCCTGTTTACTTCTTGGTGTACAGCTAATATTTCACAGTTAATGTGCATTTTGGACCAATATTGTCAATGAACTCAAGTCACTGTTTTTGAATTATATTTCTTATACAAACTTTTCTGTTTCAAACATTCTTTATTCTTTATTTCTAGCTGCAAAATTCAAGGTTTCATTCACCTGTTGCTTTTTTACAAGCCATAGCATGGTGCTCTGAGGTAGGATGCAGCAAAATGAAAATGATCACGCAGAGTCAGGTTTAAATCTTGCTAAAGACAGTAAAACCTGACAAGAAACTATAATTTAAAGAAACTGAATGTTGATCTGACAACATTAATTTACCACCGCACTCTAATTCCATCTGGCCTACCGCTTCACTTTGGCTATGGATCTACCGTATCTCAGTTGTGACAAAAAGTGCAAATTCAAATGCAACATCATGGGGCTGTTTACAAGTTAACGGTTTGTGTTAGTATATTTTACACTATCCCTAGAATCAGGTCCTTTTTACAAATCTATTGACATAAAAGCATTTAATTTTTCATTGGAACACATGCCTTTTCATTGGCAAAATTCAACACATAGGTTAGAGTTCACGACATAACCATATATACGTAATAATTAGTTAACATTGACTATTGTCCTATAGCATCGGAAACTAGGCTTTTCTCCTACGGGGTGCAAGGTGAGTGACGGTCCAGACAGTCATTCATAACAGCCTATGCCAAACAGATACACATGTAAATCTGTAACTATTTATGCATAAATACAACAATAAATTATAACATTTGCAATAAATTACTATTACACACTGGTATGACTAAAACAAGCCACATTTTCAAATATAACTTTACAGTATTCATTTTGTTTAGGTTTATGTGTTCAAATAGCTTTTTCATCTAACCAGTAGGGGATGCAATTGTAAGTCCGGTAAAATCGTCTTTGTCTTAGAACACATGCAGTTTGCGTTACGTACTCTTGTAAGGCCGAGGAAACGTATTAAATGTTAAACGGCGTATAAAAGCAGATATCCCACCTTAGGTAAATTGGTTTCTGCGATGTGGATGAGGGAGAACCGGGTGCCGGGGATTGCTGGCTGTGCAGTTTGTCGACCATGGGAAGGGGGATTGTGTGGCAGTAACATTTGCCAACCTCTTGCCTGTTCTTCTGCTGAATAGCGGAATATCGTTAACACCATTTTAATTCACTGTGGACAAATTTCCAGGACATTGCACATAATTCGCGGGTGTCAGGGAGCTACTGTCCGTTTGCGGGAGACTCCCGGAATTTCACGGAGAAGTGGTATGTCTGTAAAGGAGTGGTGGATTTACTGCTATATTGTAAACCAGAGGTCACTAACAGGCGGACCGCGGTCCGGGTCCGGACCCAGAAGCTGTCCTATACGAACCCGGACCGATAGCCAAAACATTGAGTTATTATTTAAAACCTGACGCTTCTAATTTAACCGGCGCAGCTTTTGTTGTCTTTTCGGTAGGGTTTTAGCAGTAGAACCGCCGTTTCAAAACGCCATGAACGTCAAACGCCTCTAACCAACAAGCTAGACGTAGTCTCCTGCAGCCCTTTGTCTGCGCTGATGTGCCATTAGTGTTAATAGCAGCAGCGAAGCTAAAACCCGCAACCAAAAATTCGTAATGTTTCTAACAGAGTGACTGGTTTGTCCTGAAATCATACAGCTGAAAAGTTTTTAAATACAGTATGTATTATATAACATGTTGGATAAATATAGACGTAGTTTATTGTTGATTTCATGTTCGTTGAAGTTTCTGCTTTTTAACATATGTATAAAATAATGTTATCTGTTATATAAATAATCTGTTATATAAACAAAAAATGTACGTTTTCATGGCTGCCAAATCTCAAGCATTTGGCATGACACTCACGCTTTCAGACTCAAGTGAAGCCAACTGAAGTCTTACGGCAAATCTATATTATTCCATTATAAAACCTATACGGTTAAATACAAAAGCAGAATATTTACAAGGTAAGAACTGTTACATGTGTGTGCAGACATCTCGAATTAACCATCTCACTCCAGCCAGCTGGCCGAAGTTCTGTGTCACGTGACAATAAATATTGTCAAAACGTTTTTGAATTGTACTGAATTAATTTGATTTGACGGTCAGGTACTGATTAAATGCAATGTTGATGCAACTAATAGGCTACTTAAATATATATAACTTAAATAGTTAGACATTATGATATTCCGGACCTTTGTTTCAAGAAATTTTCTCTAACTGGACATTCTTAAAATTTTAGTTGAATACCCCTGTTGTAAACTAACGAAATAAATTGTAAATAAATCGGCATTTGCAATATCCTAATATTACATTGATACAAACACATTTCACTCTTTTACATTTTACGACATAGCTAGTAAATAAATGCTTTTTTCGCTTCGTTGTTACGTAGTTGGGGGTATAGCTCAGTGGTAGAGCATTTGACTGCAGATCAAGAGGTCCCCGGTTCAAATCCGGGTGCCCCCTCTTTTACAGAAACGGATGTTGTAAACGTTCGTCATTACGAAAATTTTAACCGTGGCATTAATTTTAGTTAATACTACTTTTGTAAAAATAGGTTCAGAAACTCAATTTGTGCTACAACTAACACAAGGTATATACAGAAATCCAGAGGTTAAATTTAACACTTTTTAATACCTTTTTTAATACTTTCTCAATATTTTTTAAAACCCGCACGGCATTGAATTGCAACCGTTTTTAAACAAGTTTCAAACTGATTTAAAGATTTATAATGTTACACAATTTTGGCCTGTACAACAGAATTTAAATAGGGAACATGGGTCAACAGAATAAATTTAGTGACTGTGATTTTGAAAACATCTTGCATTTAACTTCTTCAGTCACAAATCCATACCTTTATCCACTAGGCTATTCATGGAAAGTGCCTTAATTGTTTGGCTTTTTCTTCAATGAGTTTGTCGATTTGCACCAGTTGACCAA